GCGTGTACACTATTCATATCAACCTATAATTTCTCTGAATTTATTTTTATTTTTTATCAAAGAATAGATTTTACTTGGCATTATCACAATGACTTGGCTACTTCACCATTCTCTGATGTAGGAGATCTGAAGAAAGCATGATCTGGGGCGAAACTTGAAGTCGTTCACAGACACTTTTGAGGTGAACTCTCTGATTCTCAGCACCTGAATAAGCAGAGAAATGACAAAGCAGAGACCAGATGGCCAGTGTGTAGGATCTGTCAGAAGAGTCGACACGCTCTTGCTGAGATCACAATGAGATCCTCTGTGGAAATACAGGGAAGTATGTAAATCCCAGAACAACACAGTGTTTAGTGTGTTGACTCAAAAAGGCTAGAACAACCTAGAAAACAAAACATCTTACCACTCCATCTAAACAAGATTTATTATCTTGTGAAAACAATTTCATAAAAGGCGTTCCAAGAGGAGAAAATCAACACCAGAGGGATCGGAGTCATGTCAGGTGCTGACAGATTGTGTGTTCTGTCTAATGCGCGAGAGGTGTTTTTCCCACTTATGAAACACCACTCATCTAATGTTCCGTCCTTCGGATGAGACGTTAAACCGAGGTCCTGACTCTCTGTGGTCATTAAAAATCCCAGGATGTCTTTCGAAAGAGTAGGGGTGTAACCCCGGCATCCTGGCCAAATTTGCCCAGTGGCCTCTGTCCATCATGGCCTCCTAATCATCCCCATATATATATACACTGATTGGCTTCATCACTCTGTCTCCTCTCCACCAGTAAGCTGGTGTGTGGTGGGCGTTCTGGCGCACTATGGCTGCCGTCGCATCATCCAAGTGGATGCTGCACATTGGTGGTGGTTGAGGAGATTCCCCCTTCCATGTGAAGCGCTTTGAGTGCCTAGAAAAGCGCTATATAAATGTAATGAATTATTATTATTATTATTAATGTAAATGTCTTGACTGTAAATATGCCTGCTTCTTTATGGCTATTTTTTTATTTTTCCACAGGTTCCATCTGCCCCTCCCACATACACAGGAAGACAGCTTTGGTAAAGGAGGAGACTGGGAAAAGGGTGAATGGAAAAGTGGTGCAAGCTCCTGAACTGTAAGAAAAATCTCTGAAGTGAATACAGACTACAGTTAGGGACAACGTCAATAATCGCGGATGTTAAAACAGGACAACTCTTTGCATTATCAATAGTTGTGGTTATTTTGAGTTGGTGTACTGGGAAATATATTCGTGCAGTTTCTCTATTAAAAGCATTAACAGCTTTTAATTCCAACAGTATTTTAAAAGCAGCATTATCTCAAATGATTATGTATTTTGCTTTGGCTTCAGATTCACACTTCTTTCACTCTTGAGTCAATGGCTCCCCATTGAACCTTTTGGTAAAAAGTTGTGAAATTTGGCACACTGATAGAGGAGAGTCTGAACATTAACCACAGGACTTTTGGGTTTGCTAACTTTGTCTATCTAGCGCCACCAACTGTCCAAAATTTCACTTTTGAACCTTAAAGGAGAACTCCGGCGCAAAATGAACCTTTGGTCTAATAAAACATTGGTACCTAGTCAACCGTTCTCTGAGATTTGTTTTCATGATAATCGAATGTAAAGAGTTTTATCTCTAAAAACTGTTTAGCGTATACCGCTAGTAATGGGGGCATATAATAAGTAAAAAGAAATCGCTAGTTTATACCACTAACAAGGCTCAAAATAGCCCCACATGAACACAGTAACATAATGAGGGTCCCTACATGCAAAACGAAGCATTGAGAACTTTGTAAGTGTACAGACCGTTTAATAAGAAGATAAAGATAAAGACAGTCCACTTCGTGTATACAGACAGGAGCCATCTTTGGAAAACAGTCTCGACTAATCAAACCACGAACGCCATTCATACAGTTCAGAAGTTCACTGAACTTCATACAGTTCAGCTCACTTAGCACGTCGTTCGTGGCTTGATTAGGCGATTTCTTTTTACTTATTAAATGCCCCCATTACTAGCGTTATACGCTAAACAGTTTTTAGAGATAAAACTCTTTACATTCGATTATCATGAAAACAAATCTCAGAGAACGGTTGACTATAGGTACCAATGTTTTATTAGACCAAAGGTTCATTTTGCGCTGGAGTTCTCCTTTAACTTTTGAATTGTAATGGCTAAAAACAAGATTCCCTTTTCCTCTGATTCCGTGGCTCAAGTCGATTCGATTGGCATATTGACATCCGATTTTCACTAAAATTTGCTCAGATCATCTTCAGACCATGCTGGCAAAAAGCTTTTTGATAAACCCAACCGTTTTCGAATAACGCACGGACGAATTCGACGAAGATATATAGCCAAACTGGATGCGAGGGTATATCTCCTCAACGATGTGAACGGTTTGCCCAAAAATCATAAAATTGGTTTTTGATTCGCATTTGATTTTGAACACATCAATGAATTTGATGGCATGGTGCTAAGCTGATTCTGATCCTGTAATTCTGCAACGCTTTGCCAAATTTGACATCAAACTTTTGATGTGTCATTAGCCCCTTTCACAAATCAAAGATTGGTATCAAAGAGCACACCCAGGTTACTAAACCTTCCTAATTAAACCTTCCTAATTTCCTATTATCACTGTAAAGCAGCTTTGGAACAATCTACATTGTTAAAAGAGCTATGTAAATGAAGATGACTAACCGACAACGAAGGCTGAGCAGTACGTGCAGAGGTTTTTGGTCCAATCATTAGGAACTCTGTTTCTTTCTTTTTTTTTTATTAAGAAATAGGAAATTACTAGTCATCCAAACTGTTATATCAACTATACATTCCGTTATTTCTTGAATTGGCAAGTTTTGTCGGGGCGCGAAGAGATATAGAGTTGCGTATCATCAGCATAACAGTGAAAACTAATGGCATGCTTCCTAATGATATCTCCTAATGGTAGCATGTGCAGAGTGAACAGCAGCGGTCCTAGTACTGAGCCTTGTGGTACGCCATACTGAACTTGTGATCTATAAGACATCTCTTCATTTACTGCTACAAACTAATAACGGTCAGTTAAGTATGATTTAAACCATGCTAATGCAATTCCACTAATGCCAACATAATTTTCGAGTCTATTTAAAAGAATATTGTGGTCAATTGTGTCAAATGCAACACTAAGATCGAGTAACACTAATAGCGAGATACAACCACGATCGGATGATAAGAGCAAATCATTTGTGACTCTGATGAGAGCTGTCTCGGTACTATGGTACGGTCTAAATCCAGACTGAAAATCCTCGCAGATATCATTTCTTTCTAAAAAAGGAACGCAGTTGTGAGGATACTGCTTTTTCTAATATCTATGTCAAAAAAGGCAGATTCGAGATCGGCCTGTAATTGACTAATTCTGTACGATCAAGTTGCGTTGTTTTTTTTACAAGTGGTTTAATCATAGCCAGCTTAAAAGTTTTTGTACGTATCCTAATGACAAAGATGAATTAATGATATTAAGAAGAGGATATATGACCTCTGGAAGCATCTCTTTCAGTAGCTTAGTCGGTATAGGGTCTAACATACATATTGTTGATTTAGATGATTTAACGAGTTTAGACAATTCTTCCTCTCCTATAGCAATGAATGAATAGAATTTTTCCTCAGGAACACTAAAATACCTCTGCCTGATGCGATACTGTAGTAGACGCTCGCATAGTTATAATTTCTTGTACTTGCATAGTCTATATTATCAATCTTGTAAGTAAAGAAGTTCATAAAGTCATTACTGCTTTGCTCTTTGGAAACTTCAGAAGTAAAAGCTTTATTTCTTGTCAATTTAGCCACTGTATCAAATAAATGCCAAGGGTTGTGTTTGTTTTCTTCTAAGAGAGTCGAAAAAATAAGCAGATCTAGCAGCTTTTAAGGCTTTTCTGTACGCAATCGTGCTCTCTCTCCACGAAATGCGAAAAACCTCTAGTTTAGTTTTCTTCCAGTTGCGCTCCATTTTTCTGGCTGCTCTCTTAAGGGCCTGGGTGTGCTCGTTGTACTACGGCGTTGGACTATTTTCTTTAATCTTCTTTAAGCGCAACGGAGCAACTGTGTCTAAAGTGCTGGAAAAGAGAGAGTTAAAAGTTTCTGTCGCAATATTGAGTTCTTCTAAGCTATCTGGGATGCTGAGATGATGAAACTGATCAGGAAGATTATTAATAAAGCAATCTTTAGTGGCAGAAGTGATAGGTCTAACATATTTGTAACACAGAGTTGACTTTGCAGCCTTGAGAGATGTCATCGCTCTGCTGCAGAATTTCCACGGCATCAACATTGATTCCATGTGACAATTGTAGATCTAGAGTATGATTACGACAATGAGTAGGTCCTGACATGTGTTGTCTAACTCCAATAGAGTACAGAATGTCTCTAAATGCCAATCAGTGTCAAATTGTATCTCCTTTGTGACAGAGAAAGCTCAATATGGATTATTGAATTTAATTAATAAATTAAATTCAATAATCCCCACCCCCCCCAATAGAAGTCCATTTCAACAAGCTTTTTTTATTTTGTTATTTTATTATTATTTTACTTCCATATTAATCATAAACCTCCACATACTCTCTGCATTCACTAAGTATCTACCTTTTTAAAGACAACATAAAATCCAAAAAAATAAAAGCTTTGTAAATATATTTGTGAGGGATGGCGGCTTGTGTTCGTGAATGACAGCGCGGGGCGGGGCTTGTGTTCGTGACTGCCCGTGAGGGGCGGGGCTTCTCCGTGACTGACAGCGAGGGGCGTGGCCTGTCCTGCGCTGATTGACTGAATCAAACAGCTGAGAACGCGCGTGTGATTGTGAAGACAGAGGGAAAGCAGCAGATGCAGTGAAAGAAACAGCAGCACATTAAAACATTAACCGATGAAGAAGAAAGCTTTTGCGGCTAACAGATGAAACACGACGAATCTGTGTGTGTGTGTTGAAGGCGATGATGGTGTGATGAAGAACGAGGACGCCTGACATTTTCGTTTGTCTGTGTCAACTGATGAATTCAGTGCTTGAGGCTGAAAGGGAATACGCGTTTGTTTTCTCACGGTGTTTATTTCCAGCGCCTTTTATATGTTGATGTTTGACCTCGTTTATTAATCGCCCGACTACACTGAAGACTAAAGGGGATATAGCCATTTTAAAGAGCTCGAAGAGGAGTTATTGTGCGACCCTTCGCTGTGTGAATCAGCTGCAGGAGCCGAGATGTGACATTTCCCACACGCGTATTCAAACATCTCTCATAGCGGACGCTTTTATCGAGGAAGGTACGTGTACAGATCAAATATACTATAATAGTAATCATATACATCAGATATAGGCTATTGAAATACACGAGAGCTGTTTTCGGGCAGGTGTCATCAAATGTCGTTGCTTATTTTGTTTCTTATATCGTGTGTGTGTGTGTGTGTGTGTGTGTGTGTGTGTGTTTATTTATTTATCTATTTATGAAATCAAATCGTTCAAACATTAACGTTTCATTGGTCGTTTTAATGTGATTTATTTATGCAAAAATTACATAACGATTCATAAGATGCCTCTGTGGAATAGGGTTGTATAAATAAATATGAACAAATAATCATCACATTGAAGATGATTTGCCCTGACAGGCATATAACATCAATGTAAGAATGATTATTTTTTATTCCTCTGCATTAATAATTAGTGTAGGCTATGCAGTTATACGGCAGTATTATCATATTGCTTAATGCGCTGATGCATGATTATGTGACATGAGGAAAATGGGATCTGAAATCTAAAGCAAATACAGGAGGAGAAGAGGATTGAACATTTTAAATATTATTACCCAAATTAATTAGCATGTGTCCATGCATTAAAAACTAGTCACATATTAATGTTGTAGCTAATAGCAGAAGCTGGAAAGCATTCATACCTAACCACTGAAAGAGCTTGTGTGATTTTGGGGTGTTTCTCTCTCTCTCTCTCTCTCTCTCTCTCTCTCTCTCTCTCTCTCTCTCTCTCTCTCTCTCTCTCTCTCTCTCTCTCTCTCTCTCTCTCTCTCTCTCTCTCTCTCTCTCTCTCTCTCTCTCTGCATTTCATTTGAGCATCCATGTTTCTAGTGTGCATCTGAAGATTTGTCATCATCCTGAGCTTAGAAACTTCCCTCCGCAGGCGATGGAGCCTTTTCTAAAAGCTGAAGTCGATCACATTAAACATGCATCTGTGGTTCAGCTCTGACTGATTCCCCTTCAACTACAACACACAACATCTCTACACTCACACTTATTTATAGCGGACATGCACATCTAAAAATACATCTTAACATTTAGAAATGTATACAAAAATAAGCCTGGAATATCTTTTGCAGACTGGTTTATTATTCTTAACTTATTTGCGCAATCCAGAAAACATAATAGGCTATGTCTTTGAAACTATTATGAATGAATTGTGGTTTATTTGGTTGCGTGTCGTAGTGTTACTGATCTGCTAATCTGCTAGTGCTGGGCAGTGAATCGCTCTTCATCTGCACACTGTATGTGTTTTAAATCTCCATGCTGTAGCTATAATAATTGCTAAAAGCATCTACACTCGTGATGCTAAATGTCACTATGATGCAGCTGTTACCCAAGTGCTTCTATATATGTATTTTGGTGGATGGATTTCATGTAAGGTCCTAAGAAAATGTTTTGTTTATAAAAGGAAGCAATGTTAACGCTGTTGGCATATCTATTTTCTGTCTTTACTGCATTTTAAAAATGGTTTACATTCTGCATGCTTCATATATTGTCTTTTTTTTTTTCATTTTTTTTTTTATTCATTCTATATACAGTACACAAAATATGAACAAGTTAAACAATATGCATATGCATGACCATAAGATACACATACACCACTATACCATACATCGCTGGGTAAAAAAAAAACATGACAAATAAACATGTCTACACAAAAACAACAACAAATTAACTCTAAACTCACACTAAACATCTCGTTTGAAATATGCATTATTTCATGTTTCATGATCATCCATCCAGTAACTTTAGAAAAGGCCTCCATGTTTTCACTTTTGTGAGCCAAGCAAACCTGATATGACATTACAAACAATTATAGACGTATATAAAAGCATAATTTAAAAAATCCTTTTAGAGGTTTTTGGTCTTAACGCCCAGCACTAACTCTCACTGTAGAAACTTACAGGTGCATATTACTTACTTGCCTTGTAGTGTTTATGAATGACGTTCACTGACGTTTCATGTCGCTGACATCTAAAAAAGTAAAAATAAACATGATAAAATGCATGATATAAAATGATCTATATGACGCCGCCATACTGGTATTCCCACACATTATATTAATCAATGTGAAATCGTCTGGTTTTGATGAGAAACATTACATTATGAGTCTGTGTGTGTATGTCTGAAGTCTCCCTGTATATTCGTACTATGCAAGCATCCTGAGCATGTGAATGGTTGTGTGACCTCCTGGCAGCCAGGAATAGACGTGTGTCCTCTGTAGTGGACGTCGAGGGAGTTTCTCCAACACCGTACACACGTCACCGCTTTAAGAGCTCGTTCAGACGCCACAGGTTTAAACAACTTCTGCTTGCAAATGACTGACATTAATTTAGTGATCAAATTTAGCAGTCTTATGAAAATATGATAATATATTGTAATTATCATTTAAATCGGAATACTTTTCAAATTGTATTTTATAAATCAACATCTCAGGAAAACGTTATGGGGTTTCAAATTAAAATATGACTTTCTGTTACAGAACGGGGTATTGATTTCACACACGTCATCCACTGTAGAGACACCAGCACTTGCATGCGTTCATCAGGCGTTCTGGAGACACAAGGGGAAATTATACATCAATATTCCTATGAAATATTAGAAATTATTATTATTAAAATGTTGCCAATTATTACTCCCATTTTTGCACTTCTTTTTTCATGACATGTTTCCCCATGAACACATTACTATGCAAATTAGGTACTGTGTATATACATATTGCAGAAAGTAAAATGGTGTATCAATTTATTCCATTATATCTTTCATAACATAGTTGAGAATCATCTTTATACAAAGTTTGGTTCCAATAATCCTCCTGAAACCTAAAAAATGAATGGAAAAAAACACCCTATACATGTAAGTTTGTGTCTTTTATGTTTTAAACAACTGAGTCCTGGTGTCACTACACACAGCAGAACATATGAATAAAATATAATTTTTCCAAAAAAAAAAAAAAATTATCTTCTGGACAATGTGATGACATGATAAAATACAAAATTCAAATAACTTTTTTTTCATGCATTACCCCTGCTTATTAAAAAGTTACGTTTATATTCGAACATCAGATTGGAGGAAGGACGAGACCATAACATGTATTACAAATCTCATAATGCTCATTCTGGAGTGAATGAAAGCAGATATGAGCTTTGTATGGCATACAGAACAACAGAAGCACTGTGCTGGAGTGATTGCGTTGTGTTGTACAGTAACTGTAAATGATTCAACTATCATTTCATTAACAGCATTTACTGTATTTTGAAGCTGTTAAAATAAAACGACTTTATGTTGGTTAAATTAATTTATAAATAAATAAATAAATTTAATACAACAGTGCAATGTAGCAACAAAGGCTTGTATTGTAATATTAATTGAATATTTGAATCAGTTTCTGCTAATAATCCCAGTTGTATGTTCATGTTTAATATTTCCTTGCATAATTACGAGCATTCATTTATTGATTACGTGTGTCGTCTGTTTGCAGTAGATACAACCACCTTAAAGGATATTCACCCAAAAATGAAAATTAAGCCCATGATTTGCTCAAGTCGTCCTAGGTATGACTTTCTTCTTTCAGACGAATACAATCGGAGTTATATTAAAGGGGTGATGAACTGAGAAATCAAATTTTCCTTGAGCTTTTGACATCTAAGAGGTCATCAAATTATAAGAATATCCTGTAAGTTTCAGAACTGAAAACGTCCTTGTTAGTCCAATAAAAGATTTTATTGACACCAGGCTCAGCAAACGACTCGTTTTTCAAAGTGGGGAACTATGATGACAAAGAGGATAAAACACCACCCCCGCAGAAGAAGATCAACGCCTACTTCAACACGGCCGGTTTAGCCCCGCCCACCGATTCGCGCATTACACGAAACTCATTATAATATGCAAAACTGTTATCCACTCACAGCAGTGGGCGTTTACTTCCAAGTCTTCAATGCGAGACGCCCATAAAAACCGAGCGTTTTTGAGCTAGGCTCAAAACTAGGGTAGAAAATAGCCTATTACTTATTCATTTTGATGTTTTTGAATGTAAAAACCAAGCGAATGTCATAAGTTGACCTCAGACAACAATATAAAACAATTTAAAAAGCCAGTTCATGACCCCTTTAATACATGTCGTGGCTCTTCCAAGCTTTATAATGGCAGTAAATGGTACCAAAAGAGCACATCCATCCATCATAAAAGCTAATAAAGGCCTTCTAAAGTGAAGCCATAACTTTATAAACTATAATCACTGAATCACGACTTAATATAACTCCGATTGAATTCGTCTGTAAGAATGTCATATACATACACCTAGGATGGACTCTGAGTAAATTATGAGAATTTAACATTTTGGGTGAACTATCCCTTTAATGATCTCTATATCGCTTGAAAAGACCATAAACATTACAGACGACGCCTGAAGTAGCAATTCATTTACATAAATATCCTAAAGAAGCGAGTTCTGTGCAGCTGATCAAGTTGAGTCTTGGGTAACGCTGTCTGTGCTTTGGGAACATCATTATGGTGCTGGGACTCTCCCAGTGCTTCTCCTTCGGTTGGCACTTCACATCGCAGTGAGCAAACCAGTCATACATGTATATTTAGATCAGTGGAAACATGACAGCGATCTCTAATAAGTGTTCACGGGACCGTTCAGACGGGTGTGTGAGGAAACTTGGGTTATGAAGTTAACAGTGCTCAGCTGTTTCCCATGGTTCCCTGAACCAGTCCCAGTTTGTTTGTATTGAGTATCCTTGATTTAATATGAAAAGCTTTGTTTGAACAGATACTGACTGATAGGGTTCACTTCTCTGAGTGTGATGTGCACTTGCACTGACTTCAGCCCATTAATAGTCGCTTTTATCGACAGTGTCACGTCGCCGACCTGCGGCCACTTTTGCTGGAAATCAATCAGCGGGATCATGTTGCTTTGTGGCTGGTGGTGTGAACGGGCCCTAGAATAAGGGAAGGGAACATGCTTACTGTTGGTTAATCGAGCCACAGAGTGACGTGACCTCATTGACTAG